TCCCACATTCACTCAATCAAGTGGTTCTTTTTGTGCCGGTTGTTTAGGTAGTCCAGGTGCACGGCGCTCACACAGGCTTCCTGTCTCCCCAGAAGTCTTTTCAAAACGACTCCCCTGCCGCGGGTATTGTCATATCCCACAGTGCATCTGAAAAGAGGCAGCAACCCCGCGTAAATGTCAGAGAGGTGACTTGTTTTTAACTCTTAGCTTAGCAGGCACTGAGTGCTCTGTGTGTGTGTGTGTGTGTCGGTGTGTGTGTCGGTGTGTGTGTGAGTGCGAGTGTTTTCGGCGCGTTGATTATTGCAGAGTCTGCCTCCTCCTGGCTAGCAGCTGCCCTCTGTGAACCTTTCCTGCTGTACAGTATTTTCAGTCTGACTCTGTAGTGGCGCCCCCTGTTGGCATACAGTATGCCCTGTTCAAAAAACACATTACATAAAGCTTAACTTAAAACATTAAAATACAGCCAAACTGACTAAAGACACTGAATTCGTGTTTCACTTGTTTGCGATACATCTTTTTTTTTCTTTCCTTCTTTTCACTAATTACTAAACGTTGTCAACAGGAAAACAGATCTAGACCGCAGGCCGGACGGTCAGACACAAACAAGCTACGTCTGCGGAGTCAGACTGTTTCGCATCAGTTTCTGTCTTTTGCCTGTAGGTGGAGCAATTTCTATAAAGTCTTTTCCAAAATATTATATCCTGTAAACATCGACAGGGCCGGTGAGACTAGTAAAACCTCCATGATCATAAATTTGTCACTGTCTACTGGCAAACATTTTTGAGGCTCAGTGGCCGGACTAGTAAAACCTCCATGATCATAATTTTGTCACTGTCTACTGGCAAACATTTTGTTTGTTTGTAAAGACGACAACCAATCACTGACCTTAGTTCTGGTATAAATAAGCCATGACTAATGACCTACTAATTACTACAGATGTTAATGTTGTTGGCTGACTTTACCCCAGCCTGCCGCCACTTCCTATCCCTCGTGAGGACCTGGGGCAGGAGGCCTGATATAAACTAGATCTCCTGTTCAAATCCACATTCTGTCCCAACTACCAAACCAAAGGAATCAAATGATTTCAGCCAAATCACTATGTGGACCACAACAGTGGTATTTAGAGTAGGGGCAACCAGGAGACACTAGGGGGGGCTCAGAAAATTGGAAGGGAAGACAAGAAAAAAAAAAACCAAAATATATATATATATATTTTATTTTCTAATATCTTATCTTCTAATTTATAATCATTTTTCATGTACTGTACAACATGTAAAACCATTGGATTCTCAAGTTTCTGATGGTACCTAAATGCATCCTGTGTGACAGCTGCAACTTCGATATGACTCTATCATAATCTGTGAAGAATTTTGTGGTTTGTGCCTGTTATAAGGCTGCTCTGCTTCTCAAACTAGCATGTAGCTAGCTAGTGCTAAATGGACAGGTTTTTGACCACAAATAGACCAAAGGTCCTCAGCGGGGAAAGTACAGTACAGGAGTGAGAGCCCAGTGTGTCGGAACAGCCAAAAGTGATTCTCTACTGCATTTGTAGGAAGTGTAGCAACTTTTTCAAAAAGATGTTTTTTTGTAAACACTAGAAAAGTGTCGAGTTTTGTCTTCTGTCTGTCACGGGAAGTTTTCCAGGCCTAGAATATCTTCTGATGAGAGACACGTGGCGTCTTCGCGGTGGCAGATAAATTGGCTAAGTTCCACCGTCAGTGGTGGCGATTTAACACTTCTCAACAGAGATTCACACGTTCGAGGGAAGAAAAATGACAATTTATTTCAATTACGGAGGTGCTACTGTATCTCCCACAATGAAGGCTTTATTAAGTGAATGTGCGTCTGAGCAGCGCGCTGGGACAAAGACAGCAACGCCGCTAATGACTGTAGCACGGGCGGGAAGACAAATAGGGGCCGAGCCAAAGAGGAAGCCACAGAAGTAAAGTCATGTCAGGTTCAATTAGACCATCTGAACAGCCGAGCGGGCCGAGCCGACAATTTGTCCGACACATTTCACCTCACCTTTCCCACGTGCGCTCACGATCCGCAGCCTTCAACGCCGCGTTCGGACAAAAAAAGTCACACCACGCTGTAAAAACCCTCTAAGTGAAATAGAAGCCTTGGATATTTAGTTCTTATTTACCAGGAAAACACAACGGCTGAACGAAAGCTAATTCTCCCCTCTCTTCCACACCCTGAAATGACAAGTTGTTAGTCTACAGAAAGGAAGGAGGAAAGAAAAGAAGAAAAAAAAAGGAATTTTCTTTTTCTGTTTTCCTGCTGTCTTTCTTATTCATTCACCCACAGTCTGTCTTTCTGTTGTAAACACACAGGCACACACACAGAGCTGTAGCCTGTGGTGAATGTCTCACATATGCCATCCAGTTAGCGGGGTATTTTTGTCTGTGTGAGTGGGCAGCAGTGTCACTCAGCAAGCTTTGAGCTCAGCCGAGGGAGAGCTGTGAAAGCCAGTCACTAACAAGCAGAGAGATTCCCTCCTCGCATCCCACAGCCAGATGGCTAATCTGGGCAGAATAAGAAACACACTTTATAATCAGATTTGGAAAAGTAAAAAAAAAAAACACACATAGAGAGAGGCAGAGAGAGAGAGAGAGAGAGAGGGAGAGAGACAACAGCATAACAATTCAAATGCCTTGTGGTCACCAGTTGCCTGGAATGAGGTGACACCAACATAAAACAAAGTCTCCTCTTGTCAGGATGGATTCAATAATTAGACACCAGTGCTTCAGACTGACCCGGCAAATTGGAATAATTTGTGTTTTCGGCGCTGTTGTGGGGCTGCCTCAAGAGGAAGATGGCTGAGAGAGGGTGAAAAAAAAAAAATCACTCGTTTATTTATTTTTAACCGTTCTACGAATGGGACAGCACTCACGGGTTTCCTGGCTCAATCCTGGAAAAACCAAAAAAAAAAAACCAAACAAAACAAAACCAAAAAAAAAATAAACAAAAAACAACTAAAGCAGCATAATGAGACAAAAAAATAATAAGACTAATAAACAGTCTCCTTATGCCTGTCGCTGCCTGTGGCCTGAATGATGGCAGGCTTGATGGCTCGGTGCCAGTGCATTGCCCGAGGATGCCCGCGGGTGTCTGAGGCAGTGTATCCATTAGCTACCTGTGTAGAGCGTTCCTCTGAGATACACCGACACTGATGTATGCTTTCCTTCCTTTTCAGAGATCTCTGGGCCACACACACACACACACACACACACACGCACGTAAAGTCTACCATCTGGCCAACACTTGAGAACCGCGCCGCCTTAACCTCCAATGGTTTGACCACTCAGGCCGCTCCCCGTCACTCAGCCTTGTCAACCGTTTCTGTCAGCACAGGTGGCATTCTCTTATTCCGTCTCTACTGGGGAAAGAGCAAACCTGACAGAAATGGATATGATTTAGCTTTGAGCTACAGACACGAACTCTCGCAGTGATGGCAGCAACAGAAATCCCTGTACAACGTAATGTGGTGTAACACTTTACAAAAACCGCTGCAACAGTCCGGCCACTGACGCTGCTGACTCAGCAGGATGGAGTTTTTTTTTTTTTTTTTTTTTTTGGGTTTGGGTTGCTCTACAATGGAATAAAGTTGATACAAACGACAAAAACAGAGGCAGTTGTTTCTGTTTTACGTTAGGCAGTTTGTTACTTTGTTAATTAACGCCTGAATCATTACAGTAAAGAAGCATAGAGGCATTAACATTCTGGAATGTTCCGTCACTAGCAGGTTATCTTAAAACAGGTTTGGGTTTTAAAATCTGGTTTTGAAGCTGCAATTGTCAATGGTTAATCGCCATCATGCACAGGAAACAACTGTTTTGTTTTTTTTTTTTTTGGTTAGGCAGTTTGTTACTTTGTTAATTAACGCCTGAATCATTACAGTAAAGAAGCATAGAGGCATTAACATTCTGGAATGTTCCGTCACTAGCAGGTTATCTTAAAACAGGTTTGGGTTTTAAAATCTGGTTTTGAAGCTGCAATTGTCAATGGTTAATCGCCATCATGCGTTAATCACCATCATGCACATGAAACAACTGTTTTTTTTTTGTTTGGAGACTGTTGTCACTAACAGAGGTTTTTTTTTTAATATTTGACAATAAACTGGTGGCTTAAAATGGTGAAAAAATCTTGTACATTCTCTGGTCTGATGAACTTAAGCTCATGTTTATTAGCATAAATACATATTTTAGCTTAGCCACACTGTGCTAATGTGGTTAGCACTCTTTGCTAACTGCAAGGAGATCACTGGTTCACCGATCCCACCCCCCATGGTTTTAAAAAAGTGTTTTTTTTCTAGCTGTCTCTGGAGATTTTTTTTTTATTTCTCCTATGCTCCTGTACAGTTTTATACTTTTGACTACTTTTAGAGTTCATACAAACTGTTTTTGCAGTCAAAGCTTCCTATGCATTGTTTACGCGAAGTACAGCTACAATTGTTAGTTTTGCTGTTAATAATAAAATTGTATTTGTTGTGTAGCAAAAAAGAGTATTCTATTGTATTACAATTTAATATAATGGCCATATATGTAAAAACCAAAAAGAGAAAAAAAATTTTTGAATACGCTGACTTTTTTTTTTTTTATCCAAACGACTTCACGAGGTTCAGATTTGTTCGCAGTACGACAGAAAAACACATTTCGTTTGTTATTCCATCCTGGTAATTTGTTTCAAATGAACGAGACGACAAACTAAAATCCAGCCTTGATTTACCACTTTAACAAACATGCAAACACTTTCAGTCAGCTCCGGATTGTGCAACGCCGGCGAAAGCCTAATTAATATTATTTACACTCTGTGTGGAATCGGACGCCGTGAGTTTATGAACACCAGGAATGAAGAACAGCTGTTTGATAGAGAGAAAACTAATGATGTCATGCCCAGAATTGTCAGCGGGGGTCCGACACCACGGGGACTGTCAGTCAACAACAGAATGTCAGCGGCAGCAGAGTCTGTGTTTGGGGAAGGAACTTGTCACTCACGGCTCAGGCAGAGGAGGAGGGGTGGGAGGAGGGCAGGTGGGCCAGCCAATCAGAGAAGGTCCCAGCACAGCAGGGCCAGGACCAGGAAGTAAAAAGCACCATCTGGAGTGAAGGCGATCTGTGAGTGGGCAAGTGAAACAAAGTAATGACATGTTGGAGGAGAGCTGGTGTGTGGTGGTGCTGCTGGATATAACAAGGGCATTTGGATTCATGCTGCCGATCACACCAACCCTGTTGTTGGTTCCAGTCGTCAGATGGTGCTTATTAAAGATGTGCGCAGGCAGCTATTCCTCTCATATGGGGGCGAAAGCCTTGTGTGCGCACGAGTGTGCCAGCAGGTGTGTGTGTGTGTGTGTGCAGTAGGACTGGTAAAATACCATTACCAGCATTAACAGAGGGCACAGGACGTCAGATCCCAATGCTCACAATTAGTGCAGCAGCCTCATTGTCACACACACGCACGTCGCATTTATCAGTCAGATGTTATTCTTATCACAGGGCCGGTGGGTCTCCCGCTGCAGGGGGTCCTTTCCACTTTGATAGGTGACAATTTGCCAGCCCATAAAATAAAATGTAATGCAGAAAATTGGTGGCAGTGAAACTGGCAAATTGAAAATTATGACGATTTGATTTGGGAGGGAGACCGGATGGAAAAGTCCATTTGAACAGTTGTTCTGTGCTCTCTCTCTCTCTCTCTCTCTTTTTCTAGAAAACTTTTATGTAACAATGAGCTTTTATATTCAAAAAAAAAAAAAGAAAAAGAGACAGATCGGCTTTCAGATAGGTCGCAGGAAATGGAATTGAATGGGATTTTTTGCGCTACATTTACCAAATCATCAACGTGATTAATGGCAGTTAACGCATCGTAAAAATAGAGCTCGCAATTACGGCGGAAAATTGGGGGTGCTAGCATTGCCATCATGCTAATAAGTACTATATATAATTACATTTATGGCAGTGTTGTCACAGAGATTGATAAATTCTCGCTCAATCTCGTTAATCTTTCAATAACTTCCAGCGTGGGATTCAACAATGATCCCTCTCTGTCACCCTGAAGAAGGGGGCAAAGGAGACGGAGGAGGGGAGAGAGGTTAGAGACGGCAAGTGTTGAGAGGGAGGCAGTGAAAAATAGAGAGAGGCCGTGGGCGAGAAAAGCAAAGGAGCAGATATGCTCCTGTCCATCCCGACGATTTTTTCATGCCATTCCCAGCAGAAGGGATATACTAGATAATTGCCAACGCTAAAAACTGTGTCTTTGTGTGCCACGCTGAAAGGAGAAACTCTCCAGCACTGAAGAGATAAAGCTCAAAACAAAAGCAGCCTGAATTGGACCCGGATTAGCTTTAATGGTGGTAATTACCAGAGGGGATAACAGCTTGGTCCGCTCTGCCCATCACCGAGGCCCGAGCAGAGGAACGACAAGAGGGGGAGAGAAAAAACCTGAATGAGGTCCCGTCGCTGGCTGCACGGTGACAGCGGTTTAGCACATTCAATTGTAAAACACTCGGACGACCCATCCACGTCTGGCCTCGCCTGTGTTAAAAGCCACTACTGTATCTCGCCACCCCTGTAATGGCTGTGCATAAAAAAGGGAGCGGGCCCTCCACACTGTTGCTTCTTGAATTACAATCTGAGCTGATGGCATAGATAAGAGTGCCCCTAAATTATAGCAGCGGGGGCACTGAGGCCTCCCTTTCTCTGTGCCTCTGTCTCCACCTCATCTTAATGGCTGAGTAGCATCGGCAAGCTGCACTGTGTAGACCGATAAAACATTATTTGGGCCATTGACAGTGATGGGGTCTGCTGCCTGAAAACAAGAGAAATTAAAATGCAACATGGTGCCATCTCATTCCCTCTGTGGAACACGGGCCCCCAGACATCAGCTGGAACAAAAGAAAGAAATGAGAAGAGCCATGTGCGGGACATTCAGCTGCTCGGTAGGCTATAATTTATGTAGTTTTAAATGTCTACTTCAAAACCCTAATTTGAATGTCAGGCCCCGAGCCCTGGAGCTGAATCTAAATCAAATATACTGTACCCATGTGCTGCTGCCGTTTCAGTTCTGGCACCTTTATGGTACAACATTTGCAGCACTAGTGTTCTGGAGTTGTGTGTGTGTGTTTGTGTGGATGTCTGACCTGTGGTGTGTGTGTTTGTTTCCTGAAACTCAAATCAATAAAGAACAACCCACCAGACGATCAATCCACAGGGAAGCTGAATCTATAAATATCTCATATGTCCAGCTGAGCCAGACTGTCCGCAGTGTGGACTGCATTAAGAGACCCCACGAATTCAGGATGGGCAGAATAAAGGTCGCTCTTCGTGTTACTCATCTTCCCATTGATCACACAAATGTGTGAATTGTTTCTATCTGTAATAAGCTGTTGTGTTCATTGTTTATCCGTCAGCGTCAAACTGCTAAATCAAAGGAGTCACGAAGGCTGCGGTCATGATATGTCACCAGTATGTGTTGAAACTGTGGAAAAAAAAAAACAAAACCCACACTTGCTGAGGTGCAGCCAGCTCTATAGGCTCTTTTAATTAGTGCTTTTGAGCTCTGAAAGGAACACATTCACAGAGAGAATGGTCCCGTCATTCAAGACTCCACCTGTGACAATCACACTTCATTTCTGTTGATTCTGTCTCTCTTATCTTAAGCTGAATCACGAGGCGTCATCAGATTTGTTAGCCTGTGAAGGCTACATCTACACACACACACTTTACTTTAGTCGGTCACAAAACAGTCTGTAGCTTCCAGTAAATATGACCAAAATGCCTATGAAAATATATATCATTTTAAAGCTGTTACAGTTTTCAACATTATTCTTAAAGGTAGCTAGCTAAAGGGTAACTACATTAGCATTACTTCAACAAATAACTGCTTCTCTGGACTAGGTCGTATTAGCAGAAACAGCCGAGAAGCTTGGTAGTGCTAATTAGCACACTTTGTAAGCATGCTAATTAGCAAACTCAAATAACTAGCTACAACATCAATTGTGTAGCATCTAACTGCTTCTCTGGACCAAGCCATTTTAGCATAAACAACAAAGTAGCTTGGGAAAGCTAGCTAGCACCCTCCAGAAACTATTTAGCACAAACCTGAAAGCGTCCATCTTATTTGTAAAAAAATAATGTATTAAAATGCAAAGCTGATAGATGTATCACTCAGCTAACCTGCTAATAGCTAACCTGCTAAGTCAATTTCCAGATCGGAAACGGACGGGGCAAATTGAATACAAAACTGAATACTAATAGTTTCTGTTTCAGTTCAACATTTACCTCTAAAGCATGTTCTTGTTTGTTGTCGCAGTGGCAGTATTGCCATCAAACAGCTCCGTACCTGGAGTTTCTACCAAATGTCCACGTGAACCAAATCCACTGAACATGGATATTGACGTGGTGCACATTACACAATGAAAACCATCTTCTGAATTCAGCCAACGTTTCCCAGGGTTTGATGACACCACAGAGGTGATGCAACACACCCTGGCATACTGTATCTGAGTAAGAGCAATCCAGTCAGCATCTGAGTCAATTGTGCTGATGAATTCTTTGAGGCTGACATCAAACATCCAACCACAAGACTGCTTAGCCTTTTGACAAAGGCAGAATGAAAATCCCCCGCCCCCCCCCACTTTTAAATAAGTTTGTGGTGAGCATATTTTTTCACATCCTTATTTAAATCCGAGAGAAGCTCTACAGATGAAAGCGGGGAGATGTTGCTAATCTGTGCAATAGTCACAGCCACATAAACCCTGCACAATAAATTAAAGACCACAGGCGTTCATCTTGGCTTCATGTGACCGAACCCCCCAGATACAAACAGACATACGGTCACGGAGACGCACATTGTCCTCCAACGCCCTCCAAACCAGAAGCAGCTAGCAGGCAGACGCCCACGTTCCTCACTCCAGACCTATCTGGCAGTGGAGATAAAACCGTACTGTAAACACAGCAATGATTTGACTCATCTCGCGGCGGAGAAGCTGAATGATGAGGCGAACCTGTAATAACTGCGTCGCTCAGGAGGATTCTCGTCGCGGCGACCTGCTGCTAATGCCACCGCGTTTTTAATGACTTTAATGTTTTTGATGGTGAAATTGTCTTCAGTTGTGCACTTAACGCTCCCCATATGAGGCCTGGCTTTAATTCCATTCTGACATGTGTGTTATGAAAACATATGATTTGAGTATGTTCAACTATTCACGCTTCATATCACATACTTTTAGTATTTGTTCACGATCAGTTCAAACATACTTTTTTAAGCACAGACATGTGCCCTGACGGACAATTTATGTGCCCTCTCTCTCTCTCTCCTTCTCTCTCTCTCACTCACACACACACACATTCATGCACACACACACACGGCACCCATAAAATTCAGATGTCTCCACACTCCAGCCTTTGTGAGACCTTATTGTCCTGGTTATTACCCTGGGTATTGTTACAGAGAATTGCTATGCTTATCAAGGCCTGTAGTCTAAAGTTGATACGACAGTGGCCTGGCAGGTTCATTAAGATTGATATCCTGCCACGGCAGACCTAGATGGGCTGATCTCGGACATGGGAGGCTGGAGCTGAACAGACTTGGGAGAATGGGGGAGTCAGAGAGAGAGAGAGAGGGAGAAAGAGAGAGAGAGACAGTAGGAATCAGAGAGTGGGGAAGAGAAATAAAAACCACAGGTTCACCTCCCAAGTAGCTCAATTGCCATCTATTGAGCTACTTGAGCTCAAGAGTGGAGCCACGCATGCATACCTCTCTTTAAGGGGACACTCTCCCTGTAACCTCAGCCTGCCAGTCATAAATTACCTTTCCTGGCCAGTCCTTTCACAGTAGATGCACAGAAGGCCCCTAAAGCCTCTCTATGAGCAATTAAGGCCTCAATAGGACGGAATCAAACCATGCTGACCCCGTCCACCCTCTCCTGTCATTGTCACCTCCTAAAGGGTCCTTTCCACTCCGGTCCCCAGAGTGCCGCGGCTCTCAGTGTGCACGGGCGCAGGCAGAGGAAATTTCACTGACCACTGGCTACACACAGTTTTGTCCTGCGCCAATATAAACAAGGTCAGAGGTCAACTGGACTGGAAGTTTTGTCTGTTGTATATTTCTGAGCAATG